CAAAGTAGAAGTAATAATGTAAGGTATCCCTTCAGTTCCTGAGCAACAGATACTCTCCAATAAGATGCTTGATTTCCATTTACAAAAACTGTTGAAATAGGGTGAAAGATCCCATCAGTTTTGTGCCGCAGCTGTTCCAGCACCCAAATGTAATTTACTTGGATGAGTTCCTGGAATTATTGAAAATGGTGAAGGCAATTAACACTCAATATTAAGGTATCTCTATGACGGCATACAGAAATTAACTCTCAAAGGGCATTGCTGAATGTGCCTTATATTCAGGAACTTTTCACCTGCAAGAGTACAGGTGAAGATGTTCCTTATACCAGTGGGGAAGGAAAATATTTTATAGGATATTTCTGTAAAGTCAGGATAATTTTCAAAGATAACAACAATGTAAGTGGAGGATGCTTTTTGCTCAGTTCTCCACAGACAACTAAACTATTGGTTATGCATGTGTAGTTAGATTAGGTGTACATAACAAAGTGCCTTCTTGTGAAAACTTGAGGAAATATTCAGATTATTTCATATTTGTAGTTATGAAAAAAGGGAGATGGAACAAATCAGCACCAAAGTGCTGTTGGAAAGTGAAGCTATCAGCAATAGCAAAGAGCTGCATCTTCTGAAGAGATGCAGAGATCTCTGTAAAACTTCCTCCGAATCTTGCAGCTCCCTCCTCAACTTGCTTACATTTTTTGCTAAGCTTTTACTAGAAACATACGAGGGAGGGGATGGGAGCAGTGGTCTCTACTTTTTTTCACACCCCCTTCTCTAGTGAGTAATTGCAGTTCTTGCCTCTGCTGTTGCTCGTTGCTTTTCAAAGCAATGACATGGGTTGTCAGAATTCTTAACAGTCTCTGTGCTGCACCTGACCCTGGATATCAGCTGGGAAACCACACAGAATCACTGGTGCTGTTTTCCTGAACCTGTGGGCACACAACAGTAGTTCATTGATTTGTACTGGGTTAATGTTTGGAGAGTAGCTGTTGACGTGAAAGGAATTTTAGGACAGCAGATGGGTGGGTGGAATTTCTCGTCCAAAGTTTTCTTTTCCACAGTAGAGATGCAGTTCAGCGTAAAGAAATATATGTTGTATCTGAACATACTGGATTTGTTTTGCAAATAAGTGCTTCCATTTCTCTAACTCTTTGGATTCATTTACATGGCGAAATACGTATGCAGCAAGCTGGATGTCAATTTATAAGCTATGGAAGCTCCTGGTTAACTTACCATGTGAATACCTACATTAAATGTCTGAAGTAGATTATCTAGGTGACATTGGTGGCTGTATCAGGAACTGTCAGTCTTCTGGGAAGGACAGGTAGGAGGCCAGGTATTTAGTGCACACTGATTAGACTGATCCCTGAGCCTTCTCTTCCCCGGCCTAAACAACCCCAGTTCTCTCAGCCTCTCCTCATATGACAGGTGCTCCAATCCCTCGGTCATCTTTGTGGCCCTCTGCAGGACTCGATTCAGTCTGGCATGTACTGGGGAGCCCAGAGCTGGATGCAGCGCTCCAGATGTGTACCAGTAGAGCTGAGTGGAGGGGCAGGATCACCTGCCTCAACCTGCTGGCAACACTCCTCCTAATACAGCCCAGGGTGCTGGTGGGCGCCTTTGCTGCAAGGGCACATTGCTGGCTCGTGTTCAACTTGGCGTCCACCAGCACCCCCACGGCTCTTCCTGCAAAGCTGCTTTCCAGCTGGTCAGCCTCCAGCCAGTACTGGTGCCTGGGGTAATTCTTCCCAACGTGCAGGGGTTTGCATTTCCCTTTGATGAACTTCAAAGGTTTCCTGTTAGCCCCTTTCTCCAGCTTGTCAAGGTCCCTCTGAATAGCAGGACAACCACTCCTCTATTCACAGCATAGTGAAGTGTTCTCTGACTTTTTTTTTTTCTGTAGACAAGCCGTTCAGTCTCTTAAGTGCCGTTTGCAGTGTGGCAAAACTTGCTTTCTTTACCTCCCCAATACTGTCACATGGATGGTGTCCACAGTGATAAAAGTCATAAGGCTCTTGAAATAACTCTGGCTTTATAATCAAGGGTCTTTGAAAAGCTTAGGGGAACAACTTCTTTGGGGAACAAAATAAGCAAACATTTAGAGATTCTTGAATATAGTAGGGATCTCTGGACAGCAAAGACAAGTTTCAAAACATAATGTTTTCAAAACGTAATGCTCATCAACATTGCATGCTGTGTATCATCATATTCTTTTCTAAAGAGCGTTTATGAGAATATAAAGGCTAATAACTAAAGCTTACTTAAGAAATTGTACTACTGACTGAAAATATTGCCACTTGTGTTTTTTCAGACACTCCTATTGCAAAAGCTGCTGTTGAAAAGAAACAATTTTTTTTTATAAGAAGAGAATGGGTAAGTTCATCTCGGAGGTTTTTTTTGTTTCCTGTAATGCAAAGCATTTTCTCTCTCACATTGGTAGAGGAAGTGGATTGTAAGACTTTAAATGTTGATCTTGTCACTGTTTTTCTTGTAGCCTCAAAAGTTAATGGAACGTCCTACAAATGTTTTTAGGAGGATTTTCTCAAGTGACTGTTCATTTGTCAAAGGACTTGTTCAGAGTGCATCTATGTAACAATAAATTCCACTTGCTTAATATGCATAGTGCTGAAAATGTACATGCTAAAATAGGATGCCTTTAGGCTTTTATAGCACTAAACTTTTAGATAGTGGACAAGAAAATTTCATTATGTACTGTTTTAAATATTTTTTTGGTTTTTGTTAACTAAGGTCAGCCTGTTGAATTCTGGCTAAGAGATCATAATAAGGACTGATTTCTGATAAATTACATTGTGTGTGTGTGATCTGACTAAATGTCTGAAACTGTCGTGTCTGCCTCTACAAATGACTGGTTAATGAAACATGATTGGACAGATTCTGGTTTTATCTATACTTTTTCTGAATGTATTTTAGCATGTTTCGCACTGGCAGCACTTTATTAAAATTGGCAATAACTACATGGTAATTCAATTTTAACTTCAAATTCACAAAGCAACTTAATTGATTGGGGGAATGTTATATTTGCTATAATACTGGATACAATGCAAGGTACTTATTCTAATATAATTAATATAATTTCTTTGTTTTGTCAGAAGGAGAAACAACACTAACAATCAAATGTCAAGTTTGTAGTCTATATCTGCTTTATCTTCTGTACTTCTGCATACGAAGAATACTGGCAGTATTTTACTTTTCTAGAAGTGTACAGATCTCTTTCCAAGCTAGAACAACTTCCAGGACTTTCATTTTTAACTTTCTGTCAAGATTAATACTGTTCTGAAAAATCAAATTTTATGTGCAGTGTCGAATTCAAGTGTTTTTTAATGGAATTCTAGCAATACTTGCTATATTAGTCCCTTAGAAAATACAGTATTTGAAAGAAGGCCTTAACTTTCCAGTTTGAATTTGATAGGATTTGTGTATTTAGTGCGGTGGGGACTTTTTACACTCATTTTTTCCAAAAATATTTTAATATTACTGCAGTCTTTATTACTTAAGAGTTTACAGGAACATATAAAGACCAACTGCAGAAACAGTCTCCTTAGTGTGATGGTATCCTATAGTGCTGAGCACTATACAGGCACAAAGTAGTCAGTGGTTCCTACCCCAGAGAGTGTGCTGCCTAGACAAGACAGGTGCAAGATGGGGAAACTGTTAAGACTGCACAGAGTGAACAGTGCAGTGGTGACAACAGCTGGTTTTTCAACTTTTAAAGATAGCGCTGTTAGGAGAGAATAAATGAATGAACAAAAAGGGAAGGGGGATAAGGGCTTCTAGAGAAACAAAGTAGAGAGCGGGTATATAGTGAGACAGAAGGGAAACAGAAAAAGCACAGTCAAAACTGCAGTGGGGGGAATTTCCAAATTTGCTTGGTTTTAGCACTTCTGCACTTTCCCTGTTTTCCACCAAAGGTCACAACACAGGTGTGCACTAATGCTGTATGGCTCTGGGTCTGGCTGGGTAGTGGGGGAGGATGAATCTTATTTCATGTCATTTCTTCAGTACAGGAATACTGACTTCTTTTTATTCTTACCTGTGCTTAAAAAAGCGCTTTTTCCCTTGCAGTCTGTATTTTTAAATATTAGATATGTATTCAGGTAACTTTTAGTAAATACTAGTATGATAAACATGGGAATAGCCTTATGGAGGGAAGCAGTGGCATGTTCAATTCACTTGAGAATGTCTAAAGGAAAATTTCATCCCTACATAGATTTTAGAAATCTTGTCAGAATTTGGTGAGGGAGAAATGAAAGAGGAGAGATGTTAAAAAAAAGAAAATCCTACTTTTGCAAAAATTCTTACTTTAAAACAGATTGCTGAGCGCTTCAGAGAAGTCATCTTCAAATATGCAAAATGCTTCCATCTTATTTCTGTTTGTATTGCGTTCTTCAGTCTGCAAACATAGTCATAGAAAAGATTGCAGCTTGCATTCTTAGCGATGTGAATCAGTCATTGTGTTCTGAAACTATTAATCCGTTTTCCATTATAGATGGAGAAGAGAAAACATACGGTGGGTGTGAGGGCCCAGATGCTATGTATGTGAAGTTAATATCCTCCGATGGCCATGAGTTCATTGTAAAAAGAGAGCATGCATTAACATCAGGAACAATAAAAGCTATGTTGAGTGGACCAGGTAGGTACAAAAGATTTAGTACCTTCATGTCCTTTGTTTTCCCTTTTGGACAATTTGAATTTATATCATGCAGTGAGTGAAAGTTGGAATAAATGATAACTTTTCCAGATCCTGCCTAGTTCCTGTTTCCAGTGGAACAGCCACCTCTGGTACACCCCCTGGTGTATTGTGCTACCAGACATATAATTGGACTCTCTTTGCTTTTGGACAGTTAGCGATCTTACGGTGTCATTACTACTAGTTTCCCATGGTATGAGAACTTGAGGATATTACATGAAATGTGTAGGTGTTGAATTCAAAACAAACAAGAGTTGGTAGTTCTTCATTGCCACCTCCACGGTGGAACTTCTAGTGTTCTGTACTGGGTCTGGCTGGTATGGAGTTAATTTTCTTCATATGGTTCTGTGTTTTGTATTTGTGACCAAAACAATGCTGGTAACACACCAATGTTTTAGCTATTGCTGAACAGTGTTTGCACAGTGTCCAGGCCTTCTCTATTTCTCACTCTTCCCCCCACCCAATGAATAGGCAGGAGGGTGTGCAAGAGGCTGGGAGGGAACACAACCAGGCAGGTGACCCAAACTAACCAAAGAGATATTGCATGCCATACAACATCATGCTCAGAAGTAAAAAGGGAGAGGAGGGGATTAGGGACGTTAGCCATCTTTTGCTTGGGAACTGGCTGGGCATCAGTCTACCCATGGGAGGTGGTGAGTGATTACCTTTGCATCAGTTGTTTTGTTTCCTTTCTCTTTCTCCACTTGTCTTTCGCTTATTAATCAACTTTTAACCTCAACCCACGAGTTTTCTTGCTTTTACTCTTCCTTTCCTCTTCTCTTGTCCACTGCAGGGGAAGTAAGCAAGTGGCTGTGTGGTGCTTAGCCGCCTACTGGGGTTTAAGCCACAACATGTTCACAAGATCCTATGGCAAAGAGTTCCTGAGCTTAATGACAAAAGTTAGCTTAAGTTTGAGAGGAGGATAGATAAACTTATAGAAGGGAAGGACCTCATGTGTTACTGAATATATGAGACTACCTCTGGTTTAAGAAGTGTCCGAACTAATTCTTGAAGACCAAAAAGGTGGAGGAGAGAACAGAGAGAAGTTAATGTGTGCTTTCCCTCTTCTATACCCTCATTCCATATGTTTACCTTTGGCCACTTGAGTGGTGGGCAGTTAGCTACGTGGATCTCTGGTCTGAATACAGTCATTCTTATACTCTCTTTTAGATTCTGGCGAGGGGGGGTACTGGAGAGATCTATTTGCTTAATATATTTTTAAATTACTTAGTAATAGCTGGGCAAACTGAGCAATTAAATTCTCAGCTTAATGTTCTGCTAAACATCATTGTAATGGTTGCATTTGAAAATATGTAGCAGGTCTGTAGTGTCTGATCCACTCCACTCCAACCTCCTAGATATGTAAGACGAAGAGTAGTTACAAGACCTGCTCTGAATTTGTTCCACAATGTGAAGGAATAAAAGGCGAAGTAGCCTGCTTAGAGGGCTAGAAAACTGACTCTGTAAAGGAGTCAGCATTCAATAATATTTTTTATAAAAACTAGCAAGATAAATGGGCTCACAAGAAAAAGTACTCTTGCTGTCTAGTTCAGTAGATCACAATTTCACTGATGTGTAAGTGTTCTCTGTTTCAGTGCTGTGACATTGCCAATATGCTAACATTTCGTCTGTTGCTTCCTACTGTTCCTGTACTAGGATTCAAGCCGGATTGGCTTCAGTGCATGCAGATATTTCTACAGAAATGTGTGTAGACATTAGTAAATAACTCTGCTTTGTAGTTAGAAGGAGATTCCTATAGAAATAGTGGGAACCAAACATTGCTTGGTCTCCCATAAACATGGAGTACATGTTAGTGGGCTTTGTATTATCTTTCAGCTTAATGAGTTGAAAGTCCAGAGAGATGAGGAAAAGAGGGACAGATAACAGTAGAAAGGTTGTGGGACTAACCACAGGATGACATCATATCATCCAAGTTTCATGCTTATAGGCACTATAGAAAGCTAATTTCAGATGTACTTGTGTTTTGAGATTTAAGGTTTGGATAAATTCTTCAATATCTAATAGGAATAAACTCACACTGCGTGTAACCTTTCCTCCAGTACAACCAGGGTTTCCCTGTCCCTCCTGCCTGCCTGTTTTCACAGCTTACCAAGTTAATGCATCTTTCAGGTTTGAACCCTCTGTCAAATATGCCTGAAACTGACCGAGAAGTTCAAAGCTAGTGGGATCACAGAAGGGACTACTGATAAGTGTGCATATGCAGATACGGAACATCTACAAACCATTTTTTTTCTTGGATAGGACAGCTAGAAATTTGCTCTCTTTTTTTTGTTTTTTGTTTTTGTTTTTTTTTTTTTTTAAAACGTTGTTACTGTGACCTTTGGAGCTAAGCAGACTACAGTTTTAGAGCACCTATCAAGCAAGCATCAGAATTAAACCTAAATTTCTAGTGTAGTTGTTCAGAATATTGTTAATAGGCTGCAACCAAAATACACATTTTGTAATGCAGGGGATTTTAATATTCTTGAGGGTTGTGAATGTGGCACATCCTGCTCTACACTGAAGAATCTAATACCCAGGAATATGGGACTTAGCAAGTCTGTTTAGAATGTGTTGTATTAATATGGTAAAGCATTTCATTTTGCAGTGAATTGAGATTCTGACTTTTGGTTTGCTGTTTTGTTTTTGTTTGTTTTTTTTTCTACAGGACAGTTTGCAGAAAATGAAACAAATGAGGTGAATTTTAGAGAGATCCCATCCCATGTCCTATCCAAAGTATGCATGTATTTCACCTACAAGGTCCGCTATACTAACAGCTCTACAGAGATTCCTGAATTCCCAATTGCACCTGAAATTGCACTGGAACTTCTGATGGCTGCAAACTTCTTAGATTGTTAAATAAAATAAATTATAATAAAAAATGTAAAACTTTTTTCAGTATTTAATACATGTAGTTCAGTTAGTAACTTTTTTCAGATAGCATGTTGCGTGTGTGCTGTTGAGAACTGTAAAGTTCACTGCAGAGGCAATTGCCTTCAGTCCTTTTGCATATAGCAATCATTCAGTTGAAGTTTGTTTTGCTGCTTACACAAATAAGGACCTTTTCACAAACCAAGACAAATAAACAAATATGCCAATTAGTAGATGGCTATGCCTTATCCTTTAGGTGTGGTAGAACTTTCTTTTAATACAATGACCATAGAAAATACTGGAGTTTAGTCTAATGCTCTCTAAAAGGTAATTACAGTTAAATACGAGTAGCTGTTTAGGGTTTCTAACTTTCTCTTCTTGTTAAAGTTTCTAAACATCTGAACTTAATCTCCTTTGTAAGATAGCTGTCCTTTAGCATAGTTATACTAACTAGATTAGAAGTGCCCTCCCTAAGGTTTGTATACTGACAATGGTATTTCCTTTAGGTTGAAAGTTGAGTATGTAGGAGAATGCTTAAGGCTTTTAATTTAAATCATAGTATAGACATGCGTAAAGGTGTACTTGATACATTTTTCTTTTATAACCTAAATTTTCCCCATTAGTAATTACAAATATTCAAGTCACTTGTCTGTACAGTAAGACTGTGATCCTACTGACAGTGGCTTTTAAGGGGAAAAATAACTGTTGCAATCTGTGTATATTATCTTCTGTATAACATATAAGGTTATTCTTAATGTACTGTCACTTGACCTGATATGGATTTTATATGGTTTCAGTTATGGTTTATTTCCATTGTTGTGATTGGTTATTGTAAAGTCTGTATTTAATCTTTAGAGTAGTAGTCATTTAAATTTTGTAACATAGCAACTGAAAAGATAGCAGTTACCCTATCTTTTACCTCTTCCTCAACCTCTCCCTTGTATCCACAGAAAAAGACCCTGAAATGTGGAGGTCTTTTATATTTGAAGGAAAGGGCATTAAGCAGATGTTTAAGGAGCTGTTTTATAAATTTCATAGGTATTTCCAATGTTTTTACAAATATTTTAGGGGAAAAGGATTGGCAAGCCACTGACATAATACTAGAGTGGAACACGTCATCTCTTGGTAGTTCCTGTTGGTAGTTGCCTATACTATCAGTTCTTTGTTCAAAACAAGTTTCCATAAAGAAAAAAAAAATTAAACTTGAGACAAGAAGTTGCTTTTTGTTCAGCTGCAGCCTGAAGAACCCTTCTGCCAAAATCATCTGTAAATTAGAATAAATCTAATGCATCATAAAAAATGATGCAAGAACAATGCAGTTAGCGTTTCCATCAGCTGCCACTGCTTCAGCTTTGTTTTGATCAAGAAGTGGTTGTGGTCTTTCATGGAAAGATCCCACCGACAGATGGTGGGACCTCTTTATTGATGTATTAACTCATGGTGAATTTAGAGGGCTGAAACTCTCCTCTAAACCTGTTTGCCAACGTAAATACAACTTTGAAGAGATTTTTCTGGACAAAAACTTGTACTAATTTACATAGACTATGCAGTCTGCCCATGGAGGAGTTCAGTTCTGACAAATGAAATTTTACTCTGGGCTTGAACAACGCTTGATAGACAAGCTGACATTTGTCAATGTGTTGATAGATTAGCTGACATTTATTCACATCATATACTTTGGCACAATTTATTGTGTTTAATGTGGGGATGTTTATGACTAGATTGGTTTTGCACGATAAAGCTGAAGTGCATTGCAAGGCGATTGTCTGAAATCCTATGTTTAAGCACTCTGGTCAGTGCTGTTAGTAACTCATTTTCAAGAGCACTAAAAAGATAAACACAAACCAGAGATACCCTGTTATGCTGCTTTTGTTAGAGCCACTAGGAATACCCTAAAAGGTCAAGGAATACCGACATGGATATTTTAGTCCCAACTACATTTCAGTCTGAGTGAGTCTTAATTTCTTTGGCCATTTTTAATAGTCTTGAGGTTAATGACTTGAAGTTAAAAAATTATTTAGTTTAAAATTGAAGTAAAAAGGATGTCATTTTTTTTAAAAGGTGTTTTTTCCGTTGTTTTTTTTTTTTCCTTCCCTTTTTAAGCATTCCAAAACAATCTCCTGTTAAAATACATTGCATTTTATTATTCCATAC